ATTTTAACCTTAGTTTAAAAGTATATAAAACCCACAATTTTCAAAGTTTATGGGGATGTCAGTCTCCTTGTATTGCCCAAAAGGTTAATGAAAATACAGTTTCCCTAAAATCACAAACTTGCTGATTTGCTTGTCTTAAGGAGGTAGTTATTGATTTAATTTTAGTTGTATTTGACAATTTCAGATAATCTTGTTATCAACGGAAGCATTACTTCTGGAAAGAATGCAATATCAAGTGGCAGGTTTTCTTTGTTCTGAAATACAATGGATATAAGAAAGGAGGCCCCTACACATGAACCCAGGAGCATCATCTCACTTGAGGACAGACTTCTCTCCAATTCTTGGCTCAAACCAAGCTCCCAGTTCAGGAAGGGCCCTGCACACCTGCAACTGGTACAACTCTAGGCAACTACATTTCCCAGAGACAGCATGACACCATCTAGTCTGTGTTCTCAGTCCTCCCTTCCCTTCCCTTTTCTTTCACCTCTCTCTTCCTATTCACATTCCATTGCCTAGTTTCTCAAAATCCTCGCTCTTAGGTAACTGTCATCATTCTCCTTAGGCAGTTGGTTGATAAAGACTTAATTAAGCCAGTGGCATGCGGGAGCCAAACGGTACCAGCTTGTGAGAGATAACTGCTCAATATTCAGGAATTTTACAAGCAAACTTTCAACTTTTGGTAGCTGGTCATCAGCCTTGGAGGAAATGCTTATCCCCAGGAAATCAGCATTGTTAACACTCCCTACTGGCCTGTGAGGAGCTGGCTTATCTGTACACCACTGGGTACTACACTGCCCAGGGGACTTGCAGTCTTAGTGGGTACTCTTGAAAACCTTAAAGATTCAAAACGAACTTCCATCTCTGAGATTTCTCTAACAGGGAATATTCTCTAACAGGGGTAAATGATAAAAATAATAGAGACATTGCCAAGGGTTACCACATAGGCACACGCCTAGATCATCTTGGTCCAAGTTGGCTCTACAGATACATATCACTAGGAGATATGGCAGGAAAAGGTCAGAAAGGCAATGCCTTTCTGGTCAAGAAAGATTCCCAAAGATACATGTACACATAACCATTATATAAAACAATTCTGTAACACTGACCTGCTGAGACAGACTGTTTTCCGAGTTACTGACCAAAACAAAGAATGAAGCATGCTTTCCAAGAGAGGACCATGTTTCTTGCACCACCACAAAGGATGTGGAGGTCACTCAGTCTGTGCACTGAAAAACTAAATTTACTGAATGCCAATTAAATAATCTAATGATTTCTAAAACTGAAAATAGGTCTTAATATTCTACTGAGATCTTCAAAAGTCAAAACTTCTAGACTAGTGGCTAAAGAAAGGCCAAGCTTTGTTACCTAAGTTGCATTGAACTGCATTATCCATAGCCCCGGAATATTTTCTTTAAAAGAGGGAATAGATCAATGGTGCTTAATATAAATTAGTCATCTTTTCCATGTATTTCTTTCCATGCTTCTCTAAGAATTGATTGTGTTCTAACTCTGTACCAGTCACTGTCGTGGCTATACACAAGAACATTTAAGTTGTAGTCCCACATTGGTTTTCAGAAGATTCTGTGCATTTCAAAAATAGATGGTGAAGGAAGTACTACTGAAAGCCCTCATAGAGATCCTACCAGTAATATATGGAGAAATCACTTTCTGATTTGCTCACTATAATTAGAAAATGACATTTGAAAGTTATAATCTTTTTCCTTTTTGTCCCACAATAAAAGTTATCAAAAGCCTTTGAAAGAATATGATTTTATTTCTAAGGAAAAATGTGATGTAGCTTTATTAGCATTCTTGAGAGGAACATAAATGTAACAAATTAAAAATATACTTTACAGGGAATATCATGAAATATAGCAAGAAAAATTTTGGTTTATAATTAACCCATGTTTCTGAAAATATAGAGTCTCATTTTAATAAATATGGATTTTAAATAATGGGTTCTGGGAACTACAGTTGTAGTAATACTTTGATTTATTTTTATAGTTGTTTACTATTGGAAAAACACATGTTCCTGTCAAAGCACATCAAATTAATGAACAAATTTTATATGCAGAGCTCAATAAATATCCTCTTGCAAGCTGTACTCATTTTCAAAATATAACAATGAATTCATTAAAAAACAAAAATTCAAGGGGCTGGGGTTGTGGCTCAGCAGTAGAGTGCTCGCCTAGCACGGGCAAGGCCCTGGGTTCAATCCTCAGCACCACATAAGAATAAATAAATTAATTAAATAGTTGTGTCCAACTACAACTAAAAAATAAATATTAAAAAAATTCAAATCAACAATGGGTTCAAAGATAATACCTCTGGAAGGCTGAAATACAGCAAAGACAGAAAGGGCAAAGGTAAAGCATGTAACTGTACTCTTTGTCTAAATATGGGCGGTTTGTTTGCTACTCTACAGAACAATCAGGGAAAGTTGAGGGTTAATTTCTGACAAATAGCTTAGTAGGCTGTTTGTCCAGCCTTCCCTGTTGATCCAAAGGAGCATCTCCTACTCCAGAGGAATCATACAACACAGAAGTGAGTAGACCTCCCATGCAGGGGGCCTGGTGCTGACACAGACTGCTGGAATGCAAAGCAGGTCTTTCCCTTCTGATGATGTAAGTCCATTTGGCCACTAGATGGAGATCAGGTTACTCTGCCAGTGACTAAAGTGGCTTGCAGCCAGCAAATGGAAGTAAGATACCAAGAACCTATTCTCTTTTTTCACTATTTCTATGAAAGGCATTTTTCAAGCTCCCAAATCAGGAGCATACCTATATAGAATAAAGAATTCATAAATGAGGCTCCTTAAAATATCAAACAGGAAGGGAACTGTAAAAGGCAAATATTATTATTATTATCTGGATTGATTTTTATTTATGTTGTATAATCTATAATATGAACTGGCTTAAGTAAGATAAATTAAGTATCCTTTGTCCTCATTACCAAGAGATTTGAGAAAAAGTTAATACAATGGCAGATTATTTGGACAAGACAATTCTTCCTGTTCACTTAAACAATAAAGATGTATGCTCATAATTTGTTTCTCAGTTTGAGTATACACACATGCACACACACACACACACATATCTGTATTATATATGTGTATATATTTTTTATATCAGCCAAAATGGATTAAGCAATCTTAGAAGTAGGAGGAGAATATTAGCAAACATCTATTCTAGTTTTCCAAGTGAAACTATCATTTCATTCTGAATTATATAACTTTATTACTAAATTTGTCTTATTTCTGTAATATTTGAATCTTGAGCTAGAGATATAAAGTTATAATATTTCCAAGTAATGTTTGATTTAGGGAAGAGAAGAGTTATATGGTTAAAATAATGAATAATGTGGTGAACATACTTGTTCCCAGGAAGAGAAGAGTTACATGGTTAAAACACATGGATAAATTTTTGTAAAATCATGAGTAGAAGTCTTTTTTAAAAAAGTTCTTTTGAGAAAAAATAAAATCATTAATTTAGGTCACAAAGATTTGACTACAGGAAAAATATCACCTTTGATTTTTAAAATATATGTATTTATTATTTTTATAACACTAGTATTTATTATTGGGTGCCAATGACAGAGAAGAAACTAATGCTTGGAATAATAAAAAAAAAAACAGAACCATAAGTAATTAGTTTTCTAAATATTATGGATAGTAATCAACATTCATCTGCTGCTGTAATAGATCCATTTTGCATTTTAATGACATGTTTATTTTAAGTAATACATTTGTTTTAACTTGATTAAATTAATAAATTTATGTCCCTTCAAAAGGATTGAGGTTGCTAGCCTAAGTTTGGTTTGAGATTTTCAAAATATTCCTATAAAACTTTTAAGAATCTTGGGCTGAAGTTGTGGGTCAGCGGTAGAGCACTCGCCTTGCACGTGCGAGACCCTGGGTTCGATCCTCAGCACCACATAAAAATAAATAAGTGAAATAAAGGTATTGTATCCAACTACAACTAAAAATAAAGGGATATTTTTTAAAAAAGAATCTAAGAAAAATATGTATTATTCATTTACAAATATATTTATTTCTCTTTTAAGGAAAAATCACAAAGTAATCACATAAAATAGTAATTACTAACCAATTATTCATGGAATACTTGGTTGAAATGTCTTATCTTGTTAGGTAGAAACCTAGCTTCCTTTTTTTTTTGTACTGGGGATTGAATTCAGGAGTTCTTTACCATTGAGCAACATCGTCCTCTTAATTTTCATTTTTAATTTTTAGACAGGTCTCACTGAGGGTGGCCTCCAACTTGTAATTCTCCTACCTCAGCTTTCTGACTAGCTAGGATTATAGCTATTCACCAACATGCCCCTTCCTACCTTCCTTTTTGTTAGATAAGAATGAAATATAAACAAAGAAGTTTTGTTCTGAAGATTAAATAAATTAAAAAAAATATTTTATTATATGCTTTAGTATGTATGAGTATACTGCCTTCCTCATTGTTATAATTCATTCCAGACAACAACTAGACCAGATGCTGACTGAGTCATTTCTAGAGTCACTGGGTTTCCTTTTGCTCTGGTGGCCTGTTCCCATATTTCTTTTCCATAGTGTAATTTCTACTGGTCACTGCTAAATTTGCATTATCTGGAAATAAGGAAGTTGTTAAAAACTATTGGGTGAATATTTTGCTAACTTTCTAGAAATTTAGGCTTATAAGAATATGCTGTCAGATCCTCAATGTTATGAGTTCAAATTTATTTTAGTTATTTTAGCAAGTATATTTGAGTTGTTGAGCCAAAAATTTTCCTGATTGTGGCATCTAGAATGAAATTTATACCTGAATGCTCACCTTTAAGAGGTAAGTTAGGGGCTACGGTTGTGGCTCAGTGGTAGAGAGTTTGCCTAGCAAGTGTGAGGCACTGGGTTCGATCCTCAGTACCGCATACAAATAAATAAATAAAATAAAGGTATTGTGTCCTTCTACAATGAAGAAAAAACAACAAAAAAAAGGAGGTAAGTTAAGTAGTACCTGCATATGTCTGTCACTTTCTTGCCCAATCATGTTTCTCCATTCCATGAGTGATCGCTGCAGATGTTCAAGTCCAGTTTCCCAAAGCCTGATGTGACCTCCCATATCAACAGTAACAACGCCAGTTTTGTCCCACTCTGCCAGCAGTGCATCTGTGTCCGAAATAGTAGATAGCCATGTAGTATATGGTGAGAGAGATTCTGAACTGAAAAAGGAAAAACAAAAACCAAAGATGAGAAACATTAAAAATAAAGGAGTTGAGTGATACTTTATATGTGTATTGTTCTTTCCTGTTTAAAAAGTATGTTCACCACATTATTCATTATTTTATACCTGACTCTTCCCTACTTCACAGCACAAGAAGGTTACAAAGGTCTGTGTTATGACCAAAGTGAGACATTGAACATACTGAGTTTTTAATCCTGAGGCAGAACAAAAATTAATTTAACAAGGATTTTGAAGGAAAAGTGTTAATAATTAATTATAATATATTGCTTATTGACAGTCTAAGTAATAAAGCTAGTTAAAAGTGATTTCAGTTCACTAAACTTGTCATAAAGATTTGAGCAAAGTAACAAAAACAGCATGGTACTGGTACCAAAACAGGCGGGTGGACCAATGGTACAGAATAGAGGACACAGAAACCAATCCACAAAACTACAACTACCTTATATTTGATAAAGGGGCTAAAAGCATGCAATGGAGGAAGGATAGCATCTTCAACAAATGGTGCTGGGAAAACTGGAAATCCATATGCAACAAAATGAAACTGAATCCCTTTCTCTCGCCATGCACAAAAGTTAATTCAAAATGGATCAAGGAGCTTGATATCAAATCAGAGACACGCTGTCTGGTAGAAGAAAAAGTTGGCTACGATCTACATACTGTGGGGTCGGGCTCCAAATTCCTCAATAGGACACCCATAGCACAAAAGTTAATAACTAGAATCAACAAATGGGACTTACTCAAACTAAAAAGTTTTTTCTCAGCAAAAGATACAATAAGAGAGGTAAATAGAGAGCCTACATCCTGGGAACAAATCTTTACTCCTCACACATCAGATAGAGCCCTAATATCCAGAGTATACAAAGAACTCAAAAAATTAGACAATAAGAGAACAAACAACCCAATCAACAAATGGGCCAAGGACCTGAACAGACACTTCTCAGAGGAGGACATACAATCAATCAACAAGTACATGAAAAAATGCTCACCATCTCTAGCAGTCAGAGAAATGCAAATCAAAACCACCCTAAGATACCATCTCACTCCAGTTAGATTGGCAGCCATTATGAAGTCAAACAACAACAAGTGCTGGCGAGGATGTGGGGAAAAGGGTACACTTGTACATTGCTGGTGGGACTGCAAATTGGTGCAGCCAATTTGGAAAGCAGTATGGAGATTTCTTGGAAAGCTGGGAATGGAGCCACCATTTGACCCAGCTATTCCCCTTCTCGGTCTATTCCCTAAAGACCTAAAAAGAGCATGCTACAGGGACACTGCTACATCGATGTTCATAGCAGCACAATTCACAATAGCTAGACTGTGGAACCAACCTAGATGCCCTTCAATGGATGAATGGATAAAAAAAATGTGGCATTTATACACAATGGAGTATTACTCTGCATTAAAAAAATGACAAAATCATAGAATTTACAGGGAAATGGATGGCATTAGAGCAGATTATGCTAAGTGAAGCTAGCCAATCCCTAAAAAACAAATGCCAAATGTCTTCTTTGATATAAGGAGAGTAACTAAGAACAGAGTAGGGTCGAAGAGCATGAGAAGAAGATTAACATCAAACAGGGATGAGAGGTGGGAGGGAAAGGGAGAGAGAAGGGAAAATGCATGGAAATGGAAGGAGACCCTCAGAGTTATACAATAGTACATACAAGAGGAAGTGAGGGGAAGGGGAAAAATAATATAAGGGGGACAAACGAATGTCAGTAGAGAGAGCAGAGAGAGAAGAGGGGAGGGGAGGGGAGGGGAGGGGAGGGGAGGGGGGATAGTAGAGGATAGGAAAGGCAGCAGAATACAACAGACACTAGTATGGCAATATGTAAATCAATGGATGTGTAACTGATGTGATTCTGCAATCTGTATATGGGGTAAAAATGGGAGCTCATAACCCACTTGAATCAAATTGTGAAATATGATATATCAAGAACTATGTAATGTTTTGAACAGCCAACAATAAAAAATTAAAAAAAAAAAAAGATTTTTTATGGACTAATTGTGTCCTCCAAATCTATATGTTGAAGACCTAACCCTCAATGTGATGGTATCAGGAGGTCTTTGGGTAGTAATTAAATTTAGAGAAGATCATGAGGGTAGAATGGCCAAGATAGGATTGTCCCTTTAAGAAGAGACCAGAGGGCTTGTGCTTTTTCTCCACAACTCTGCCCCACACATGCATCATGCTGAGATACAGTTAAGAAGGCAGTCACTTGTAAGAGCACCCTTATCAGGAGCCAAACTAGATGGCACCTTGTCTTGGACTTTCCCAGCTTCCAGACTGTGAGAAATAAATGTTTATCACTTAAGCCACGCATTATAGTTATAGCATCCTGCACTAAGCCAGAACTCTAATTGTAGGTACATTAAAAGATCAGATACTGCCAGTAGTGCATGCCTGTGATCCCAGTTGGGGAGACTAAGGCAGGAGGATTCCAAGTTCAACTTAGTGAGGCCCTATGCAACTTAACAAGGCCCTATCTCAAAATAGAATAATAGAATGGGCTGGAGATGTGGCTCAGTGGTTAAGCATCCCTGGGTTCTATCCCCAGTAACAAACAATAAACAAAAAAAACCAATAACAGATACATTGGTAAAGAACAAAAATACAGCCATTTATTGGTTATTAACATTTTCTAATAGTCGTGGATACAAGATGACACTAGCAACTCACTCTCAGGAAGAAAGGAACTCCACACCAACTCATCCCTCCTACACCTACATTGGTGGCCTCACTATTCAAAGGTCTCATTTCAATGCTGAAACCAATGTTTTATTTAAGGATTTCAATTTCATTTGTATTTCCTGACTTAGAAAGTGAAATTTATCTGTAACAAGGAATTTATATACTTCTTGTATTATATCTCATATTTATTTCCTTTATTACATATTTCTAATATATATAATTTTTTTTGGAATGCAACTTTTATCTGTATAAGTCAACTGCATACTTCCTTTAAGAATAGTTTTCATATACAAGTTACACAGATTATAAATTCCAACTACTAGTGTTTACTTTTTAAACACAAATGATATTTTCTGTATGAAATAAAATAGCTTAAAGGGATGGTTTGCTCCGATAAGAAACACAATAAACTAACAATGTGGATTTGGGAAACCACAAAACCATTATACATGAAGTAAATTCTATGCTAAAGAATAAATCAAGACGATTTTGGTGTTTTTTCAGTATGCCTTAGTTGATACTGAACACACAGAGACCAAGAGCAGCTACTCTTGGAATGCAGATGTTTCAGGGAATGTTTACATGATGAAGGGAACAGCAGAATGGGAACAGGTATTTCAAAATTATTTTATAGGACCTCTAGAGGACTTAAATAAAGTAACCACTGATATGCTGTAGGATTTGTTTCACGGTGCTCTCTCAAAGGTATTTGGTTAGGAAAAAAATAGTAGTTACAGACTATGAAATAAAGAGCTATTCAGGAATAATGAAATCTATTCATGTGAAATTATGATGTTTGACATTCTGCCAAGAACACTGATGTTATATGATACTATTGAGCATTGTATCTATTTGTTGTCCCTCCTTGTCTCTCTACCATAAAACCTTAAATTTAGAGGAACAATTTCTTTAATAATAAGAAAAAGGAAGTACTGAAGAAATCTAAACTTACTACATTTTGCACATCAGGTCCAGAACTTCTTCAATTCTTTTTTATTTTTTACAAAAATTCATGTTTTCTTTTACATAATTAAATGAAAACACAGAATTATAGTGGAATGAAGCTTAGATTTATATACAGTCATATATGAGAGTTGGGCAGTATCATTTTACAAAGGCAAAGAGATAATACAAAAAATTTGTAGAATTAATGCATGAGCGCAAAAGTGGCACATTCATTTGGACTTGTAGTTACATTATATTTTTATTGTACTTTATGATTTGAAATTAGCCATCAAATGGAGAATTCCTGATATCTGGAGGATGCTAAATTTAAGAAACTAGCAAAAACCCAGAAATCTAGATAGGTCATTCCCTTGTATTATATACATGCAAACAAAAACAAATAGCAATAGTTAATCTCAACAGAAAGCCAGGATAATACTGACAATGAAACATACTCTAAATTACATGGCACATGAAATGTGGCAAGTCTAAATTGAGATATGCTGTAAGTATAGCTAGATTGCACAGACTTAGAAGAAAAATGAAATATAAAATATCTCATTACAGTTTTTATATTGAATACATGTCAAAATGATAATATGGTTTAAATAAAGGTATTATTAAATTTAATTTCACCTGTTTCTTTTTAATGTTTTATTGTGGCTATAAGAAATATAAAATTACATTTATGATTTGCATTATATTTCCACTGGACAGCAACACTCTAAATGAATGAATTAAGGGGCTCAGCTACTACATGGCTGTACACACAACTGCTCTTCCAGAAGTTATTCTCATTGTAGGTAGAACATGTAGCTCAAACAGAAAATTAAAAAACACCAAAATAAAAAGCTCTTGAGGGAGAAAGTAAGAGAAGTATTGGAAAAAATAATCAGTGCTTTTAAATGATTTTTAAAAGTATATTATTTGTTTTTGTTAAATGGACTAGACAAGCATACAACTAAGGTGGAATAAGGAATTTCTTCAAATGTCTAAAAGTCATTTTCCATTAAACCAACACATTAACATGTTGCAAGAAATCACATGTTGAAACAAGTAGATCTATTTCTTTGAATAGTGATTTTATGTTGTATATGTTTTGAATCTGATTAAAGGGTCCTAAGAAATGCAATTGTTATTGCTGAGTTATTTTGTATTGTCATACTGAGCTATTTTCTTCTGTGGGTTTGAAGAGGAGAAAGAAAGGACGCCTGGTGATGTTTTGGGTGATTGAGAGATTCCACTGTTCCTGTCCTTCCTCTGATATTAGTGGGTCTCCAGGGTCCTCTGAGATTTCAGGCAAGGTTTTACCCACTGTTAGAGCTCAGTTGCATATGGGAAAGCACAGGAGGGGAGTCAATCTTATTTAGATCAAAGTAGAGTAGAAAGATAAGAGGAATCAGGCTTTGGTGGCAGAGATGGGGGTCAGTCAAGAAAGGAAAAAATGAGCAACCTAGGCTACGTAGAACAAACAGTTGCAAGCTTATTAGCTCAAGAGAGAGACAAGGCATGGATATGCTCAGAAAAGGCTACAGGTGAGGATACCAATGTTCCTCTGGGCAGAGACAAGTAATTACTCTTTCTGTATCCTGAGCCCAGCTAGTTTAAAGGCTTCACTTCCATGACTGGTCAATAATAAAAGCAGTGAATGGTAATCAGTTTCATTCTAAATCTCTGGGAATCCTTTGGCTACTGTGTGGCCTTCACAACTGCACACAGTAATATATTTAGAAACAATATTAAATAAATGCTGTTTAAATTCCTTTGACATTTTGAATGCATTTTCTTCAGAAAACTAATACATAAAGTTAATAAGTATTAACATTTTTGCAATACTAACAATGCTATTTCTGGTTTAGAAAAAACTGAGCATTAGAACAGATCAAACAAAAGAGAGCAAAGGCTAGAAGCTTGTTAGACTTATACATGTAAAATGTTCTAAATATTTGAATATTTTTCCAAAACAAAAATAAACATACCAGTAAAACATGCAGAAGAAAGGTAAGATACAAACCAACTGTTAAGTGGGGGCAGGAGGGAAAGCTTTCATTTAAGGAAGCAAAAAATAGTTCACTCATTTTTATGACATATCAAGCTAAGAACAAAGGTGCAATGGGTTACCTGGGAATAGGGATATATCGGAGTTTTTTTGAGTGCAGATCAGTGACTTCTATATAACCAGCTGTCTGTGGGGGTGTAACACCTGCAAACAAGTCACGACATGAAACAAGTATTAATGACGCTTGATACCAAAGCATGACCCCAAGAATGCTTGATTGCTGCTAAAAGCAGAATGAAGTTACCACTCTCCTACAAAAGAACTGTGGGACCTACTTGAAAAGGTACTGGACAAGTCCAGCTCTCACAGCTAGACTTAAAATTATGGAGAAACACAAAGTAGAAGCATATTTGATTTACTGTCAGAAATTAATAACTTGTCCTTTTCTTCATGATCTTTGATAGCATTCCAATATGGGTCAATTTTTTAGCATAGTTATTTAAAAAATATTTTATCATTTGAATTCTGTTTCCCTTCTTAGGAAGTCACAACAATGCCTAACAGGAGACAGTATAAAGTGGTAGAATTTAGTATCTGCTTTGCAATCAGACTGATCTGGTGAGTAGTTCTGGCTGTGATACTTCCTAGCTGTTGGTAAAAATATTTACATCTCTGAGGTCTGCTTTCTCATTTGTAAAATAGAGATAATAATAGCATCTGAGCATCATAAGCATTATTTTGAGGATGAGATGAAATTAATAAATGCAAAGCATCTAATTAGTAGTAGCTCAGCATATAGTATTTGTCATTATTACGGTTCTGCAAAACAGAAGGTGAGATGAGGATGGGGCAGGGGAGTAAGGACTTAGGATCATGAAGAGTATACAAAGTTGGGTGTAGGAAAAGACAAAGATATGGCGGCCAGGTCTGTAACTGAAATTTTGGGATTGCTCTCCCAGAAAATTCCATGGCTTTCTGACTTCTATTCCACAGCTCCAAATACCTCTGCCTTCCTCAAAGCACTACCTGTCATCAGTGTGTGTCACTAATTCTACTTTGTCTTTATAGGCAAGACGCATGATTCCTATTTGAGTGAGGAAGAAGCTGAGTACTATAGAGCTAATGTCACTGTAGGACTGACTTGAGGTGATTTAGCTGTACAGTGATGGTTTGAAATCCATCTTGCTCTGCCAATCACTGTACACAACTCCTACCTGAGCTGGCTCTGGGACAATGGCTATTTGTAAAATAACCCCTTTTACAAAACCTTGGACACTAAGATATCTTAAAAACAAGATAAAACTCACCCTGCCGCAAAACTTTTAAGATTTTTGTCCATCTTTGTCTGTCTACCTATCAATCATCTATCATTCTATCTACCTACCTATATTTTATTACAACTTCACATAACAATGAGATGTCCACACTAAATTCATGGAATGCAGGAAAGAAAGAGAGAGAGAGAGAGAGAAATAAATCTGGCATTTTATTTCATGATTGCAGTTGAAGGATTTTTTCCTCAGGTTATCTGAACAACTCAACATATCTCTTATTTATTCAACAGATGTGCTTGAGCTTACTTTGTATCTGAGGATATAGAGAAGATAGAGAAGAAGGAGATGCCACCTTTAAAGAGCTCACAGCATAAAGAGGTGGGCCCTGGAGGACTTTGAAAAGATTCCAGAGTGGGAATTATAACTCCGAGGTCAGGTATGAACTGAAGAGGTAGGCAAGAGGAGGGCCCAGAGGGCAAAAGGTTCAGGAGGAAGAGAAGGAAATGTACAGGGGAAGGAAGGCTAAGCAAAGAGTGTTACTATGCAATTTGACCACCCAGCTGCAGTGGCTGTACCCAGACAGCCGTTTGTATAAAATGAACATGCTTAGCATAAGTCACGCACCGTCTCTATTGTACTGCCTAGGATATAAGGTCAATCTTGGATAAAGCTTTACACCATATGTCGATTTTGACAATTCCTGCTGCTAGAACCTAGCTGAAGTAGGTTGAATTATTTATAGACCAGGGTTCTTTGCCAAAAATAACCAGTTATTGAAACTGTTGAGATGACTAGAGCTGCTTAGCGAACCAACTTAAACATTTGGGTATAGCATTTAAAAGGCATTTTTTTTTTTTTTGAAATATAGTAAGTAGAATTAAGTTGAGCTGCTGCCATCAGCACTTTCAGGTTGCTTGTGAAAGCATCGTAAGCCAACTTATTTAAAAATATTTTTTCTACACCTTTCTTTACTTTCCCTGGGTAGATTAATTCCACAACACAGAAGGTGAGAAAATGCAATAATGGCTGTATCTGCTGTTTCAAGAAGAAAGCAAAAAATTTTACTCCTAGTACTAAAAATATACTTCCAGGTATAAGAAAGGGAATTTGTGGCTATAGAGCACTTCAGGGAAATATTAAGCATGGTGGCAGTGGTGGTAAAATAATCAAAATTTTAATGTTTACTGATCTGAAAATAAATCAGCTCAGAAAACAAGAATATTTACAAAAATAGTCTTATGGCTATCTTTGAACAGAATATAAGACTGAATTAAGGAAATGAAAACTGGGGCCAGGTTTCCCTCCAAACTGAGCCAAGTCCTTGTCCATTTAAAATGTTTCCACACTGTAGAGAGGATGAAGGCTCAATATATTTCCATTACACTTATAATCCAGGTGGATTTTAAAGATGGGTATAAACTGTATTTAGGGATTAGTCCACTAACCATTAAAGGGAAGTCATTGCTGCAATGTTTATCACATAATTCCCATGAACAGTGAGAACAGGATATATGCACAGTGCCAAAGTTAGAAGGAGGTATAAAAACTGTCAGGTGAAACAACCAAGAAGATTTTCAAAGGGAAGGTGAAATAATACTTAAAAATTCACTCCTTTTAGAAATGTAATTTGATGTACATCTGTTAACCACTAGGTTTAATATTCTTCTATTTATTCATGGATTAAAAGAATGATCTGCGCCATAATAAAAAGGCTTTTAGAGTTTCCCACTATGATATTTTCCAGTGACTTTCTTTATGCTGCTAGAATAACAATTTTGTAATTCTATTCCTAGACAGACCCACTACAGACTCTCAACATACATACAAGGAGAGAGTTGCTAGAATATTCACAGCACTACTATTTATAATGACAAAAATTTGGGGAATAAACCTAAATGTGCGTTTTACAAACAATAGAGGAATAAACTGTAGTGTGTAAAGCAGTGGAAATAAAGGTAGAGCTCTCAGTATGGTAATGACAAAGATTCTTTCCTTGATCAAGCTCTACTCAGGCTCTTCAGAATCCTCTTTCCAACTAGGCCCTAGTTCTTGGGCTTCTATGTTTGCCTCTTGCACTGTTTTATAAAAAATTAATTCAAAATGGATCATAAATCTAAAACTATAAAGCTTCTAGAAGAAAACATAGGAGATTTGCCTTTTATTCAAATAGGAAAAAAATGTATGAAAAATGCAAATCATCTGACACTGGATTTGTATTTAGAATATATAAAGAGCACTCAAAAGCCATTAATAAGAAAATGAATACCCCAATTAGAAATGGGCAAAAGAAGTGAAGAGATATTTCACTAAAGAAGATACATGCGAACAAATGTTCAATATCATTAGGTGCTATAGAAAATGCAAATTAAATTACTATAACCTATTAGAACAGTGAAAATCTGACAATGCCAAGTATTGGCGAAGATGCAAAGCAACTATAACTCTCATTCATTGCTGATAGGAATGAACTTCCATTTGGGAAAACAGTTTCGGCAATTTTATCATAGAATGTAGAAGTGCCATTCCTAGGTACTTATACAAGTAAAGCAAAAACCTAAAAATCACTTAAAAATCTAGGCTCAAATGTTCATAGTTGTCTTATTAATTACTGTAAGAAATTATATACACACACATACATACAAATTTGTGAACAGATAGGCAAACTGTGGTATATCTATATAATAAACTACAACTTGGCAATTAAAAGGAACAAACTACTGGCATGCACAAAACAAAATGATTTTCAAATACATTTTATTAAGTGAAAGCAGCAAGACTCAAAAGACAATATACTGTATGATATCATTAATGATATTCTAGTAAAAGAAAATCTATAAGGACAGAAGTCAGATCAGTGATGGGTTGGGGGTAGGTAGACCAATTGGGTGTAAGTGACATGGGAAGGTTTTTGGGGTGAGGACACTTCTCTTCTTTATCAGTTGGATGATGAGTTATACAACTATTTGTGTTTGCAAAACTCACAGAACTACACAGTAGAAAGGGTAAAATTTGACTATATATAAATTGGACCTTACTAAGAACAAACATATACATTAGAAAGTCAGTCATCTGATATGTAGAGAATAAGTAGGAAAGGAAAAGAGTAGAAGAGGCCCTGGCATTACTCCAGTGGTGGTGCATTGGATGTTGGTAACAGAACTTGATAATATCAGGAAGGAAATATCAAAAGGACATTGTGATTGATGATGGATTTGATGTAGAGAATGAAGGAGAAAAGGCATGAAGTGGAGCCCCAGGTTTCTGGGTAGATAAAGGTGTGCTAAGTTCTGGTATATATCATAGTGTCATTCCTGGAGTGCTTTGTCAAGATCCTGTACCTTTCACGCAGGCCTCCCTTTTTGTTGAACAATTCCCATTCAATTAATTCCCCCTCATCCTTCAAGAATCACCTCCTAATCAGCAGTCTCAGCTAAAAGCTTCTTTTTTTGTGTTTGTATATTGCCTTGTGAATATTCTTATCATAGCACTGACGACATAGTGCTGTAATTGTCAATTTATTAATCTGCCTCTTCTATCACAGGAAGACTGTTTAGGGAACTAGGGATTCATTTTCCTTGAATTTCAGATGGGAAGGAACTAAATATTATCATTTAACCAACACTTTTCAAATCCAGTAATAGATTATTATTATCATACATTTTAGCATTATACTTGTGAAGTCCACACCAATAGAATGAACATAAACACAGCATAAACACATTTCTATTACCACAGTGCAAATAATAATACTCAATGATTTAATGTTTAATTTTTTTATAATTACCTATTCTGATGAATGCCAGTGTGGTTCTATACAAATAACTCTAAATCTGGAATTGGAAGAGCTTGGTATAAATCTGAGTTCTGCTGGCTACTGGTGGGTAATCCTGGGCCAGTAATTTTATTTCACTGTGTCAGAATTTCCTCACACATAAATCAAAGAGCAAGATGACAACAGGATAGGGTTCTAGAGATCAAGTGAATTTATAGAAGAAGTGATCAGCACTGCACTTGGATATACTGTGTAGTAAAAAAACACAAGTTGACATGGAGAGCACTGATGAGTGAACTGGTCTCATGCTAAGCTATGGGCCTTTGGTCTCAGGACTCTCTATGCCTAAATCCTAATCATTTTAAAAGGCTCTTGAAAAACATGTTCTAGGTAAAGTCACTTTACAGATTGTAATGTGAATGTTGATGAGCTCTAACAGCAGTGCATACAACCATACACTGTGTAAAGATTAGTGAGCGGTTTCAAAATACACAAAGCCCACTGGGCATGGTGTACACACCTGTAATTTTACACCAGCTACTGAAAAGGTTGAGGCAGAAGGAGTGTAAGTTTCAGGTCAGCCTTAGAAACTTGATGACACATTGTCTCATAATAAAAAATAAAAAGGGGATATAGCTCAATGATAGAGCACTACAGGGCTCAATTCTCAGTACCAAAAATCACAACCAGCACCTTCCTCCCAGCCCCACCTACAAACAAAAACAAACACACACACACACACACACACACAAAACCCACATAGCTCTTTTTAGCTACTTATAAAAATATGAAATAATAATCATAAACTAAATATCCCCTACCAAATCAGATAGTGATAACTTCTTACCTTTTGGGTAGATATCTTTTAGAGGGACTTCTCCTGGGGGCAAAATCCTGACTACCAGATTAGTATCTAAAAGAGTCACACAATTTCTCTGTCTTGGAGCCCCCTTCTTCTTCTTTCCTCCATAAAATGCTGTATCAGTGACACTGGGTTTATGCAAAGATGATGGCCTCTTCCAAGAATAAACTTCACTGGGTGACTGAAAAAGGAAGGAAGAAAAGAAGGAAAGAAAGAAGGAAGGGAGGGAAGGAGGAAGGGAAAGGAAGAAAAAAAATTAAAGTATCATATAACACATTCACCATAACTTTTACAATATATTCCTTTAAGTATACACCAGTGGTGAACCTGTCTAACAGGAATAAGAAAATCAAATTATCTTTTTGAATTTGGTATAGGAGAGGGCTGCTTTACCAAAAATCATAATATCCAGACAAGTATGAAATATATATTAAATTTTTATTTTGAAATAAATTACAACTAAAAAGAGGGAATATGGCAGTATAGTTAGCTCAAACATAATATGATATAAAACTATGTATCTAGTATAAAGGTAAGAAAAGAACATAACTGGTATTTTTAAACCCTTGGAGTATCCCTACCCAATCACACATCTCTGGTACACCTATATTTAATTCTCCTGGAATTTCTTATTATTTTTTTCCTTTGGTTTATTTTAAAATTTTACCATGTATATTTATCATTCCAAATGATAATAAACTGTATTTTCCTATATTTTCTCTTAAAAGGTTAAGGTGTTGTCTTTTGAATTAAGTCTTTAACCCATAAGGAATTAATTTTTGTGCATGTTGTGAGGCAGGGACACATGTCTGTCTATTCTTATCTGGACAGATATTTGCCCCAATACCACTAACTTTTGCCCAATGATCTACAAATGTTTTCATAAAACAGAGTTCAATGTATGCATGCCTCTGTTTCTGGAGGCTGCATTCTATTCTACTGCATATTTTTCTACCTCTGGGCCAAGAAGACATGGTCTTAGTTCCTACAAATTTATATGCAGGCTTGAAATTTAGTAGGTAAAGTAACTTTGGTTGCTTTTTCTTCACATTTTTCTTCAGTGATGTCTTTGTTATTGTTTGTTCTTCCATATTCATAAAAATATATGGACTGTATTTACTCTGTATTCTTGTCAGTATTTTTTATTTTAGCCATTCTAATCGTATCTTACCAGGGTTTCAATTTGCATTTCACTAATAACTAACGATGTTGAAGATCTTTTCTTGGACTTATTTGCCATCTCTATATACTCTGTAACTAAATGTTGTTCAAATCTTTTGTCCACTTTCCCCCCACACTTATCTTTAATATTTTTCTATATCTACCTAAATACATTGAAAATTGAGTTCATACAAATATATCCAATTACAATCCAATAGCTACAGGGTTCATTCTAGATTTCTTCCTTTCATGATTGCCTTCTCCAAAAGTGAGAAACCAATTTTTATTATCCTTAATATATTTTAATTATCCTTAACATAGTTCATTATCTTTATTATAACATCCTTAATATATTTATTTTCTTCTTCAAGTCCATTATAAGTGACCCATCTCTACCACTAACCTTACCCTATGGACAGAGCCCTGCTCTCTTTGCTTCATCCCCAAAGCCCACACTGGGCTAGACTCATGCATGGGCACTTTCCTCATCTTACTTGGGATCCAATTTTTCATACCAAGCTGCCCCTTTATAAGCTCAGATTTGATGCCCATCACCAGTAGTTACCCCTTCCCTGCCATGAATGCCCTTCTTACCCCACTTAGGCTCTGACCTTAATTTAACAAGGTACTAGGAATTGAATTTGGGGGCTCTTTACCAATGAGATACACCCCCAGCACTTTCTATATTTTATTTTTAGTTCACTGTTTGCCCATCTTAAAAATTGGGGTTTTTTCTCACTTTTGAGCTTTAAGAATCTTATAGATCCTAGGTATAAGTCCTTTGTTAGAAATGTAGTTTCCTAGCCTGTAGATTATCTTTTTATTATCTTAACAGTGTTAAAGATCTTAATTATCTTAACACTATTGAAGATGATATTTGCTATAGGTTTATATAACTATTTGGGATTAGGTTAAGAGAATTATATAAATTTGTAATAATCTGTTGCCTCTGATAGTTTTATTAAGAAATAGTAAGGGGTGTCACACTCCTTTGTTGATAGTTTTATGAAGAATCTAAAGAAATTCACATAAAAGCAGAAAGGCAGTATGGTATAAAAGAAAGTATATGGGTTAGCTGTATGTAGTGATGCATACCTATAATCCCAATGACTCAGGAGGCTGAGACAGGAGGAACAGCCTCAGAAACTTAGGTCCTTAGCAAATGAGACTCTGTCTCAAAATAAAAAATAAAAAGGACTAGAGCTGTAGCTCAGTGGTAAAGGCCTCTGGGTTAAATCCCTAGTTACCCCCCCCCCAAAAAAAAAAAAAAGTTTTAAAAGAAAGGGTATGAGTTAAGGGTTTAGTCATACTTGAGATCAAATCTTAGAGCTCTTAGTTGTAAGCCTTGTGACCTGGGGGAATAGAACCTCTCTGTTTCTGTATCCACAAAACTGTAGAATTGTTATTTAAAAAAAAAAAAAAATTATGCCATGCCTCATGGTGTATGCTGTAATCCCAGCTACTAAGGAGGCTGAGGCAGAGGATTGCAATAAGTTTGGGGCCAGCCTGGGCAGCTAGTGAGACCCTGTCTCAAAATAAAATATAAAAAGTACTAGGGGTATAGCTCAGTGGTAAAGTGCCCCCAAGTTCAATCTCTAGTACTAAAAAAAAAAAAAAAGTTAACTATTATATATGAAAAGGCTTAGAACCATACAGTGTCTTACTACTACAGATGGGCCCAAGGAAAATATGACTGTTACCATAAAAGTCTGAAAGGCTGCCTAGTTAACTTTTTCATTAACAAATTATTCACTGGTGGTGTGTTTCATACTAAATATCAAGGATATAGCTTTTATTTTAACAAGGTTACTCTTACAGGGTAAAAGACTTCTATAGGGTTAATAGTTTATTTTACTCAGTTTTTATTTTCTAACCTTTTATGGTGATATTATATTTCTATACTAATTTCATTAATCAAAAAACAGTGATAAGATCAATTTGTTTTAAATAGTTCCACCTTCACAAAAAATTCAAGTATTTTTTTTCTACTCATAGCATATTAAACACACCTCTTTTATTTGATCAGGCTGCTGTAGGCACTGTTTTTCAACAATATATTTCATTTTGAGTTAGATAACATAATAGCAAATGCTTTTTACTTGATAATTAGGAAGGCATACGGCAAGTCCTAAGCCACGTATTATCCATTGGGTTTTATATTTCAAATGTCTTATATCCTCAAGTACTCACAATTTATTAATCACATTAAAATTTAGAGGCATGTGAGATTGGTGTATTACTAAGTACAGCTAATACTTTCATCTTTAAAAGATTATATTATCTGATCTAAAAGCTACAAAGGAAATTATTAAAATTAAATGTTTACTCAAAACCATGGAGTTACATCTAAGGTTAGTATACAGAAACTTGTACTAAAATAACCTTTATATTTCATTTCCCCACATTTCCACTAGGGGAAGATGGTGCCCAGTTTCACCTGAACTCAGTTACAAATAGCCTTTCTTTTAGCAATAAAGATAGATAACAGCATAAAGTCGCATCTAGGAGAAAAATAAATTAAGACCATTACCCATTACATTATTAGCAGGCTTCTGCAGAGATACGATAAATCAGAATAAAACTCAATGAGAAGTAAACATGAGTTAAAAAATTTAATCTATAGTAATGATACCCAAATTTAACCTGAAAAAATTCTAGAAGGCATACTTTATTAGTCTCAAATTGTTCCTCCTGGCAGAGTCCATGAACACACATTAAGATGACATGATTAAAAAAATCATCTTCAATAGGTTAAATGTTAAATGTGTCATATGAACTCCTACATATGAAGATACTTGTTTCTTACTAAACTAGATCATTGCATTACAATTTGATTGGTATACAGTAAAACATATTTTTTACTGATTTCAAATGCAAACTTGATTTAAAATGTTTACCAGCTATTACATTTTAATTGTCTCTTAAATAGGCTTACAGATTTTACATCAAATGTGGAGAAATAATTACACAATAATGTAAAACATTGGTGCTCACCATGAGATCTGGGAAGCCAACCACTATGGCAGCATAATTGTTCTCATCTGAGAAAATTCGGTTGGGAGAGGCGATCTTTTGTCCTACAGCTGAACTCAGATTTTCAGATGATAGTTGATCACTTGAAATTTTATGAGGTATGCTGACCTCCATTTCTGAAAATGTCAGACACACATTAGGCACTATTTATCCCTAAAATGCTCTAGGAATTAAATTTTTGCAAGATTTATTCTCAACAACTCAAACAGAAAAACACAGTAAAAAATAGAAAACATTCTAAATTGCATTCATGAGCTTTGGCTGAGAAAATTGTTTTTATAATCAAAGCTTCTTTCCAAAGTGATTTCAAGTATTTATGGAATTCAGAATTTTATTAGTAATAAATATCATCATTAATAGCTCCCCACAGAAAAGATGCAAAACTGACCCAACCCAGTATTGGCAATAGTAAAGTTTTAGATTTTTTTCATAAGTACTGTTCTCTTCCCCAAACTTGGCCAATGGATGTAGTCATAAGGGAAGGGGACTTGAAATTTACTGTGCATTCTTTATAAACCAAGTGCCATACACTGCCATACACTGTGATGAATTAAGTAGAAATTCTGATGGCCTGTGGAAAACAGAAAAGATGTTATCCTAAATTAGACTTGGAACCTAAATGTAAGTGAAAATTCTTATTTGACAGTTTAAAATTTTCAAGGACAAGACTTAAAAGAGTGGGCTTCCTTATAATACTTTGAAGGCAGATTATTCCTTTTTCCAGGGTAGTAATTACTTTTTCTTTCTTTTGGTGTAAATATCACATAATCTTGATTTTATTGTTCTTCAATGAATCTAGAGAATAATTTGTGAATAAGCATGCACCCACACAGCCATAAACACAGACAACATAGTATTTACCTTGTGTAATTCCAAACCCTGTGCTAGGCAGCTCCTCTTTCAACATATACAACTGGCAAACCCCACTGTTCTCAGATTCAATGTGTGCAGGTTTAGTTAAAAGATATTTTCTGTAAACAAACAAGACATTCAACTTAAGTGTAAAGCTTCTTTTTTGAGAAATCATTAGGGCAAACCAAGAAAAATTAGTTGTTTGCTCCAAAAGCCTTTTAAAAAATAGTTGAGTATAATTTACTGTTTCAACATTTCATCATGAATTTAAAAAATAAATTCTCAAAACTATTAACACCATTATAAAGGGTAGTACCCAATGACAATGCAGTGATGAAGGCAAATCAAACATTCAAGGCTTCCTATAAGAGAAAGGGCTATTAAAGCAAAGCAATGCTAACAGGGCACACCCTTATAATCTTGGAGCCCTCTCTTAATATGTCTGTCTGGTCAGGCAGAAAGTGAGAGCATGAACTCTGACTTTGTGACCAGCTAAGGGCCAGAAGTCCTCACCATTATAATCTTCTTGACGGATTTATTTTTAAGCTGTCTAAAATGTGGATGCATGAATAGCTAGAAACTGTTTGTAGTGAGCCACTTTTGCTTGTCATCAGAAGGACAGAACTCTTCACTTAGCCAATGGATGTAGTCATAAGGGAAGGGGACTTGAAATTTATTGTGCATTCTTTATAAACCAAGTGCCATACACTGCCTTTGTCAAAAAATATACAGTTCCAATGGGGGAAGGCAACACAAACAAACAACCATAACCAAATAAGAGGACAAAAGATGAAAAGAAGAAACTTCTAAGGTATGAATTCTGTGAAGTTACAAAAAGGCAATAGCTCTAGGATAGAGTCTAGGGCTCTTAGAAGGGAGAATAAACTGAAAATCTACTTTGAAATACCTACTGCTTGGTAGAACACTGTGAATTCTCAATGTGCAAATAAAAAAAATTTCAAATCAATATGGATCATATGTAAAAGTTATTATTTTTGCTGTTAATTTCAGTGTCATACTCTGAGAAGTGATATTTATTTTAATTTTCTCCTCTCTCTTCTTATAACTTTTCACCAATAGAGATGGTGCCAAATACAGAAGTTGTTAAAAGAGATAAAAGGAAGATGGAGTAAGGGTTTTGGATAATTGATAAATAAGATTAAGCTATGGCATATTGCACAAGATGGTACGCAGTACAGATTCACCCACTGATTTGTTTCACTTTCCACCAGAAGCCATTTGTCCTCTGCTACAAGGAAAACTCTCTCGAGGTTGATGGGAAGTGAGATGGTATGAGCTCGCCCTTCCAAAACATCCAGTACAGTCAATCTGTTCCTAAAAAAGGAAAAGAAAACCATGTCTAAAAGGAATGATAAGGATAAGTTGAGTGGCATAATCCTTTCATGATATATTATGCACTAAGTAATAACATAGAAAATGTTAATTGAGAAAACACAAACAAATTCTAAACTGTCAGGATGTGAAGGAGAAAAAATAAAGGAAAGTGACAGCTGCCATATTAGTAGTGTTGCATTATGAAATTTTTAGTGCTCTTTTTTTCTATCTTTCTCAGTGTTCTACAACGTGGGCATAGTTACTTTCACACTAAAACATTTATAATTTGATTATATTAGTTTTGTACTAAACAAGTATAATTAAAACAGGAAACAGGATTAATAAAATAAGTAACCCAGTTTGTCTTATTCAATAAAGAGCTTACCCTTTTTCTTTGTAGAATACTAGCCAGTTTTTGTGTGAAAATTCTTTACACATTTTATAATTTTCCTAAAGACAAAACAAAATATTAAATGTTTCAGATGTAGTCACATTTCTTTAGCTGCTTCCCCTTAAATAAATTTCTTCATTGTGTAGAAAGAATACATAACTCTTGGAGAAGATATATAATCACTTCAAGACTTTTACAATAACATGGATTAAACTATACTTCAAAATTTATTGTGGACTATGTACTAAAACCTCCATAGAATATTTTTTTTTAAATAGGGTCAAGTACTATTTGAAATAAACACGCTATTTGGTGATTAACTGTGGAATTTAAATTATAACATAAACACGTCAGAAATACTTAGTAGCATTTTTTAAAAATCTCTTTTTTCTCATGGTCTATTAAGACCTAAGTATGCTGTCTTATACAGTACTGGATAAACCCTATTTTATATCACAATCAATTCTCTTGGGTTGGCCTTCAGTGTTCATTTATTCAATTTGGTTAATAAACTGAGACATTTATTTATCTGGTGAGACAATTAGGTATTCTACTCATGGTTTTATCATATAAACCTAAAAAAGAACTACATAACTGAAAAATAGGTTAAATGATGAAAAATTTGTTATTAATATCATAATCAAACAGTTCATAATGTTCTTTTATTATTCTTAGTCCTGGCAATCTTCAACTCAGTATAACGTATACCAAAAGAAGCTACTGATATTTATTTATAGGTTTATCTTTATATATTGTATCATATCTCTATATATTAGATGTTAAAATCCACAGATGTAACAAGAGGTCTCTCTTGTGCATTATAGTTTGTTTTTTCTTTAAGCACCAAAAAGAATGCGCAAGCTTGCATTTTCATGGTGAGAAAGCTACAGAAAATTGTTGGCAATCTGCCCAACAGAGATCTGACATTCCTTACTTTTTCCTCCTTGCTCCACCAGGAAGATTTCTTAGATGCTACCTCTTCTAAAGGAAGGATGAGACGACGAAGGACCTGGCCAGTGGTATCTAATAAGAGGATGACATTACTCTGGAAATAAAGAAAACAGTATTAAGTTCAAAATTATTTTTAAAGAGCAGTAAAGGTTAAAGAGAGTAAAGGTTAAATAAAGAGGAACCCAAAAGGAAGACAAAAATATTGAAATAATTATAAGATATCATGAAGACATTCAGTGATTTTCCTTACTATAGAATTTAAAGTTTTGAGTGATTTTATCAGGATATGTCTAATTGTGTAACCTTCTCCTAAAAGATTTTATCTTAAAATCATTCCCTTTTAAGTATAAGGCAGCTGAACCATGTTTTATTATATAATAACAAGGAAATTAAGAGGATTGATAGTTTTTAAAAGTTCATTTACTTTTATCAAAATTACACTTAGAAAATGTCCTGTTGAAAGCTCTTTTACACTCTGCATTCTTAAATCTCATTTATCCTTTTCAGAAACAAAAGTTCAACTTAGAAAATAGGTACTAGATATAAAGATGGGTTAGCAAAAAAAAATATAAAGGACCCCAAGAGCCCAGTTAGTAATGAGTGTCATCTTGAAATTCACTGAGCTTGAAGGACTTTCATTACTGGTGCTGTATTATGAAGAAAATGTAGTGCTAAGAGGTTTTAGCAAGGTGAGAAAATGGATTTGGATGAAGGAGACATTTTCTCATTTAATTTTGTAAAGGGTATCAAAGAAATTCAAGTTTTAAGAAAGGAGCTATCACTTTACACCTACAAGACTAAACAACATTATAAAGCTGGACAATGCTGAGTGTGGGCAGTGACACAGGGACTTGTGACCCTTTGTACTATTAGTAAGCATGTACAGCCATTTGGGAGAACAGCTGACACCACCTGGGAAAATTAAGTTTATGTGCTGATGATGATCTAACATTTCTATCTGGGTTTTTATTGCAAATAAATTCTTATACTAATCCATAAAAAAACTTGTACAAGGGAAAAATTATATACAAATGAAGCATTATTAATCACAGCTATGCAGTGAGGTAATAATCTCTCAGTAAATAGGATTCTTTTTCAAGAAAAGAAAGAAACTTTAAGCATTATAATACATGAACAGAAACAAAAACATAAAATTGAGAAAGTCAGAAAAGATTAGATATTTTAAAGAGATGTAAAGAAGTTGGCTTTCCTGGTTGAAACATTAAAATGTTTTAAGATTAAACTAACAAGTTTGCAAAACAGACACCTGCAAGTTGTTTGTCAGGCCTCATTATTATGCAATTTTCCTTTCTTGGTGTTTTTGGTTTTGTTTTGTTTTAATTTGGGCTTCTCCAGTTATCCTAACCCTTATAATATTTCATCTTAAGAACTTTATTTGGGGAAAATAGAGTCACAAAGCATCCAAAGAATTAAAATATACTTAGGAACCTATAGAAAAACAATCAAATATGAAATATTTGCTCAATTATTCCATAATGTCAATGGGGCAGCTTAAATTTAAAGCACAAAGGAGAACATAACCATAAGTTAATCATGATCCTTGCATTCTATTATGTTATGTAGTTGGGGAAGTAAAAAGAAATATAAAAATATTAATGATTCAGCTGCAAATCTAGTAACTTATAGTGTGGTTTCATATTTATTTTACAAACTAACTTTACTGAAGTGCTCAAAATTAAATAGCATTTGTACCACACAGTTCATGTCAGACCATATATTGAAACATGATTGTATTACAAACTTTACTGAGAATCTTCATAAAACTTTAATTTTCCCACAAACATCACCCTTGAAATGTATCATTCCATATAATATGTAAGCCTCCACTAAGAAAGTATGTTAGAAATATAATTTTAAAAATTAACATCTAATCAAGAAGTATTGTTCGTTGGTATTCTAAAGTTTTAAAAACAGTAGTGATAAATTAGAATTTTTCTTAAGAAAACATACAAATAAGTAAAAAAATTATAAAGTCTCCATTCTAGTTCAACTATTTTTTGAGTATGTTTTAGTAAAGAAGTCTTTCTTGGATGATAACTATATATAACATTTACATAAATTCCTAGCACATAAGCAATTTGAGAGATATTAACTTTTTTTAAAAAAAAGAGAGAGAAGAGAGAGAGAGAGAATTTTTTAATATTTATTTTTCAGTTTTCGGTGGACACAATGTCTTTATTTTATTTTTATGTGGTGCTGAGGATCGAACCCAGCGACTCGCACATGCCAGGTGAGTACGTTACCGCTTGAGCCACATCCCCAGCCCCAACATTAAATTTTAAAAGATGTCCTAATGTTTTGTCCCCTCAAAACAATTGAACCAACAAATAAGCAGATGACTAAAGATATGCTTAAGCAGAAAAATAAGTTAGTGAAGTTTCCCATTTATATTCTTTTTTAGAGTCTAAAACTTATATATTCATAACCTGGTATAAATGAACTGAAAAACTGTATCTTTCCAAGTGACAGAAAATGTATATATTTCCATCTATGACTGTATTTAGAATTAGTTTTATAAGTAATTGGCAACATGAAGGAGTTCTATGGCTCCATCTTTTAAGATGTTAATGGTTTCCTTCTGTAAATGACTAATGATATATTCTGTCTGAGTTTAAAAATAGAATTTCACATCACACATGAGTACAAGTTAACTGTGGCTTTGGCGCTCTTTTAAGCAGGGCAGGGAGGAGAAATAAGTGAGCAATTTTATTATGTTTGTATTTGACTGGGAGAAAAGTAACCTCTGGATGACCTCCATGTCCCCAAGTCTGAAATTCTAAACTCTGTGCAGATGTAATAAATAATTACATGGGGGGTGAAGGAAGGGGAGGGTCTTTATTTTTAGGCATAGCAAAGTTTTCCTTTTTCACTAAAGATTTTATTTTAGCAAGGAATTTTTGAACAATTTTTTAAACTAAAGGAAAGTGCATCTGAAGGCATAGCTTTATTTTAAGAAGACAAGGGATAGGTAAACTCATGGCAGTACAATATTTCAGCTTCATTTTCAGTGAGGACAGGTTGAGGAAGAAGAAACTGATGGCAGTCCACCCAGTTCCCATTCCACTAGAATTATCTACCAGTTGTTAAATTTCACAGCTGTGAGCTGTTCATATGGAATCAACAGGTCTGGCATCCCAATAGGCCCATCTTATAAAACAGACAGCCAAGATATCCTCTCTGGGAAAGGATGAGGCAGTTTGGAGGACAGGATAGTGGAAGCATCCACATACTGCATGTCTGCTCAGGATGCTAAGCTCCTTTCTGAACAACTATTGACACTGTGGCCAAAGGGATAAGTAAGACAGTGTATAAGATGCCAGGAGACAAGATGCTGGCTATGGATGCTGAACATAGCTTCACAATGAAAGTCATTGTAATCAAACAGAATATTAATCAACAACATTGTTAAATAACTGGATTTTTTGAGAAAATGAAACACATACTGAGAACATAAAAATCTGATAATGTTAGAGAATTTGTATGTATGTAAAACTGACAGAGAATTTGTCAGCTAAAAATTTGGCAGAACTGTTTGAATAAATATTACAAATTTCATTTCTTTTTAAAAAATATCATTTATTTATTTTTTAATTTTTAGGTGATGCTAAGGATCGAACCCAGAGCCTCACACATGCTAGGCAAGTGCTCTGCCACTGAGCTACAGCACCAGCCCCTACAAATTTCATTTCTCATACAAATTTGATTGACTTACTGAATGAAAAATCACAAACATATTATGTGCTTTTAATGATTCTTATAGATATAGGATTCAAAACAGACACTGATATTTTGTTGTTTACACTAAAATAAAACCCTTATTCCAATTTGCTGGACATGAACTTTTATAAGCAATATCTGGATATGGATGAACTCTGTTTCTATTAGAAAATGAAAATGGGAAAAACAAGCCCAAAACTGAACCCAGAAAAAAATCTTAACTCAGAATTTATGATAATTATTTAGGCAACAACTAAGTTAATTTATTTCCTCAAAAAGTTAGTGACATTTTATTTATCCAATATATTCCTCTTGAAATAAAATCTAAAAGTATTATTTCTTGGTAGTATTACTTACAGGTAACAATGCTGCATTTCTTTAATATTTTCTTATTATGAACTCTTTTCTTTATTAGTTCTAATTAGTCATACATGACAGTAGAATGTAATTTGATACATCATACATAATGAAATATAATTTCTCATTCTTCTAGTTGTACATGATATTGAATCACACTGGTCATATAGTTATATTATGTAAACAGGGTAAATAATGTTTGATTCATTCTACTATCCTTCCTAACTTCATACCCCTCCCCTCCTTTCACTCCCCTCAACCTAATCTAAAGAAACTCTATTCTTCCTTAGCCAAACCCCTCCCCTTATTGTAAATTAGCATCTGCATATCAGAGAAAACATTTGGCCATTGTTTTATTTTGGAATTGGCTTATTTCCCATAGCATGATATTCTCCAGCTCCATCCATTTACTAGCAAATGCCATAATTTCATTCTTCTTTAAGAATGTCATATTTTCTTTATATATATTCATCTGTTGAAGGGCACCTAGGTTGGTTCCATAGTTTAACTATTGTGAGTAGAGCTGCTATAAACATTGATTTGCATGCATCACTATAGTATGCAGTTTTTAAGTCCTTTGGGTATAAACTGAGGAGTGGGATAGCTGGATCAAATGATGGTTCCATTCCAAATTTTCTGAGGAATCTCCATACTGCTTTCCGTAATGGTTATACCAATTTACATTCCCACCAGCAATGTATGAGTGTACCTTCTACCCCACATCCTTGCCAACATTTAATGTTGCTTGTATTCTTGATAATTGCCACTTGGACTGGAGTGAGATGAAATCTTAGAGTAGTTTTGATTTGCATATCCTTAATTGCTAAAGATATTGATCATTTTTTCATATATTTGTTGATCACTTATATACGTAAAGAAAGAGCCTACAGAATGGGAGAAAATCTTTACCACATGGACCTCAGATATAGCACTATTCTCCAGAATATAAAAAATGAATAACCCAATCAATAAATGGGCTAAGGAACTGAACAGACACTTCACAGAAGAAGAAGTATAATCGATCAACAAATATATGAAGACTTTTAAATTTTTCACACTATAGTATTCTTCTTCCAAGTACCTGCAGTGAGTAAGAGAATGGGTATAGTTTAATTCTTGTGAGTCAATCCAATTTGATTTGAATCTCAATCCTGCTGTGTATCCACAGAAAAGGTTAAACTCTCTGAACCTAGTGTTCTCATATGTAAATATGCCTTACAGCTACCTCACTTGGCACTTAAAATAATAACATAAGATAATGTAGTAATTTCTTACTTGACACACCATCACTATTTAACAATCCATCTTTCTTCTTGAGACATCACTTGCCTCTGGGATACGGCCCTCCCTGGTTTACCCATATTCATCACCAGCCACTCATCCTCAATCCCTGCTGTTGATTCCTTCTTCATGTCCTTGATTTCTTGACTTAGTGCTTAGACTTTTCCCACCTACATTTACTCCTTGGTGACCTTTTTCAGTCTCATGACTTATGTAACATTTATATACCAATGACTCCCCAATTTATATTTCTATTTCTGACCTCTCCATTGAACTCCAGTCTCATCATTTACTTGGCTGTTTAACAGTATCTCAAATTTAGTCAAATGTCATCTGAGTTTCCCTCGTAACTGATTCCTTCTCCATTTCAATTAATGACAACTTCTTCCAAGTTGTTCAGGCCCTAAATCTTGAAGTTGCTCTTGAGTTCACACTCTTTCACCCCATATATTTGCTCTGTTAAAAAATCCTGTTAACTCTACCTAGAGAATATATCCAAGATCTACCATTACTTAAGACCTTCAACCTTTTCTAAACCACCATTATCTCTTGCCTGGATCACTGCAAGAAATCTCTGAACTAATTCCTCTCATTCTTCCTTAGCACCTATAGATTATTTATCACTGAACAAACATAGACATTCTTTTAAAATATAAGTCAGATCATGCTCTCCTCTGCCAAAAGAACTTCTAATACCTCCTCCTTTTACTCATAGTCAGAGATCAGAACCTTCCATGGCCTATAAGGTTTTACACAATCTACTTCCCACTGCTTTCTCTTCCTCATCTCTGAATAACCTCCTTACCTCACTTCTTACTTTTCCAGTCATTCAATCTTCCATGTACACTTCTCTATGTCATTTTTTTTTTTTGCAGCGATACATGCTAGGCAAGCCCCCTTACCAACTGAGCTACTCCTAGGCTCCCACCTGACTTCTTTAAACATAAATAGGCATGATCCAGTCTCTGGGACTTTGAATCTATGATTCCCATAGAACTCTCTTCCTCCAGATATCTGTTCTCCCTTTTACCTCCATCAGGTCTTTGTTGCCAACCCTTCAGTTAGGTAAGCTCTGAGGACCTTATTTTAAATGGAAATCTTCTGTCTCTTGCATCTCAACCTCTAGCTAAAGATATAGTTTAAGTTGTTGTTGTTGCTATTATTATTATTATTATTTTGCTTATTGTCTATCTTCTTGAACTATAATATAAGCTTTTTAGGACAGGAATTTTTGTGGTCTTGTTCATTGACCTATAGCATCTGTCTTTTGAGCTTTAGCATCTGTTTAGAATTAGGTTTAGCATGAATCTGGTTATCTGTACTTCTTATCAGTGCTGTCTTAGTGCACTAATCTCTAGAAGTGATGGATAGAACTTGAGCACTATAGATACTAAGGGATTCCAGTGTATTCCATGCAATATATTTACATTGCTACTTCTATATAAAGAATGTCATTTAAGTCTCAGATAAAATGACATCTTCTCAGAGAAGATATCTCAGCACCCTTTTTAGCACTGTTCACCCTACCAACTCTTCCTCCTTCTTCTCCATCACTTCCCCAGATGTCACTGCTTTTATATAGCACTTTTCACTACCTGAAATTGACATGTTTATTTGTTGGTTTGGTTGTTTGTTGGCTCTCTCTCCTAAGAGAGTAAGTTTCATAACAAAGAATTATCTAGCTCCAAATATCATAAAGTGGCAAGGCTGAAAAACCCTGATTGGGCAGTTTCCAGACTTAAAAATTCTGTTGAAGTTGGTACAGAGAGCAAGATAGTAGCCTACCTTTGTGGAACTGATAAAATATAACTCCTGATATGTCCCCCAATATAAATGAATTTTTCATGATTCTCTTCAATCATGAAAAACACACATTTCAGTTTTAGGTTGAAAATTACTCTTGCCTTTTTCTTCACATCAGTTACTTTTCCCATAATTATAGAATGTGAGTAGCCTGGTATACCTGTTCTTCGTGGAGAATAACTTGACCCTGGAGAGGACTTCCCAGTGGTGCCACTGTCACAAATGGGTGCCAAAGTCCACTGGCAGTTCTTGGGAAGATGTCATATAAGTCCACAAAGAAGCCAATTTCCCCAGTCATATTCATAAAGTATAAGGAAACAGGATTGCATGTAGTTATATACAGAGTATTTTCCTCATTTTCTGAAACGGAAAAAAGGTGTTAATTTAGTGGTTTGAAAATGACTTACAAACTGATCAAGAGGCCTAGGAAAAATTAAATTATGAAGTTTGAACATACAGTTGAAACCCAGCAGATGATTTGTAGATGCACTGATTAGACTAAAAAGACCATGAAAAGCACCTTAGTTCCTTCCCTAAATGTAGAGTTACACCTACCTATTCCAGGAGGTATCTATTTGTTCCCAAGAAAAGGCCACAATATCTCCTGATAACATCATTAATTAGTTAACAATTTTTAATGTCAGGAAATTCTCCCTTGTGTTCCAATGAAAGTCTGTTTTCTCTTTTCCATTGTTGTTTCAGAATAACAACAGTTCAATATTTTCTAACTGCTGATCTTTCATTTTCTAGATAGTTACTGGATATTTAGGATCTAATTAATTCCACTTTTAAAAAATCTTAGCCTTACAGATCTTCAGTTTCAAACTTTTGTTCATATTTCGGTATTCCTTATTATAAAATTTCTAACATCTTAAAAGGGGTGCTTTCTTAAGTCCATTTTCTGAATTTTATACCGGTGCTTCTTCCAGTTTAAAATGACTATGAATCACCTGGGGAACTAATTAAATTGCAAGTTCTGATTCAGTAAGTCTGTGGTGGGAATACAGATTCTGTCCTTTCAATCAGCTCCCAGGTTGCTTGTTTGAGCTCCTTCCTTTGAGTAACCAGGCTCTGGATCAAACTTCTGATAATGTCTATGTGAGTGCCTTGAGGCAAGGAATTAAGATGCTTTGTCTCATAAATGCTATCTGCATCACCCAGTACCCAGATATCTATTTATAAATAGCTGTATTTTTGAACCTAAAATTCAGACACACAGTATGACAATGATATATATTTAAATTTGGAACTATCCTAGAAAATCTGGACTACATGTATGAATGCCATATCTACAATGTTAATATGTAATAATTATATTACATATAGATATATTACAAATACTAAGTTTAAAACAATAAGTTAACCTCAGTAAAAAAATAGCCATCAGTGCTGTGGAAAATACAGTAAGAATGTTTACATAAATTTAGTTAATAAATTTATTAATTGTTCTCTTTTACTTCAGGTATTAAGTATCATCTGGCCTTTGGCTCAGACTCATAGATATAAAATTAACTCCAACTCTAACTCTTTTCTATCTGAAGTGCAGAATAGGTAAAACACACATATACACAAAACACCAAGAAATAAAAATAACAAAAAGTCTAGTTTGCAAATGTGGCAAATACTGAAATAAGAGGGTTAAATTCTATCAGGGACAGCAAATGAGTCACATTTATCAGAGTCGCCTCTGACTGACAGGAAGGGGCTGCCTGAATGCTATTGAGAAATAAGAGCCTGTGACCAGGTTTAATGGGAAGAGTGTACAACTGATTTACCACCTGCCATAGGCCTGGGCAGAGGATCATAACACACTTACCTATGATTCCTGAATATGAGACAAGGGTCAGAGTTCAAATTTTTTTAAATAAAATCTCAGACTTTCACTTTACAAACAAATATGAAATAATCTTAGGAGCATAAATCTTTACCCAAAACAAACAAATAACAACAATAAAAAATCTGTAAATATTTTAAAGCATACTTTTATTCAAAATAGCTGACTTGGGGTATAAACTATATCCATAAAACTTACAGGAATAAACACAAGATACTCAACATTGCCTCAACAATTCCATCTTAAGTGATGCTGGAGATACTCTCCCATCCCCCAGCTACCTCTTCTGTTTATATTGCCTTAGTAACTGACATCAGTTGAAGAACTATTGCCAAAAAGTACTCAGGGCCTCCTGCGTCAATCAGTAAGTAATGGCAACAGTCCAGAAATGTAGATGCCAACAGTTCCCATTCTTTATTTGCCATTCTTTACAATGAAAAGTTTAGCAACTGCAAATCACTCTGGCCCTGATTTTGTGGTTTATGCAATCACCAAACTGGAATCCCAGCCAAAAAATCCAATGTTTCTCCTTTTTCTTTTTTCCTTCTATTTTTAGCACACGCCTGGGTGTGTTTAACTTCGTGCTACAATTGTAATGAGAAACAGACATATGCATACAAACTCAGCAGTGCTTATGTGGATTCCACAATGGCATTTTGTTAGGTTGTTAGAGGAAATTAGTTCTAAATTATATATAATTGCTATCCAATCCAAGAATGACAGTCACCGAGTTTATCATAGACTCCTTGATAACTAGAGAGTGTTTTAATCCCTTTTAAAAAATCAATACAGGAATAAAAGATTAAAAAATAAACTTAACATACCACATGATGTAGCAATGTCACAAATTAAATTAATTTCATCCAGTGGTAATCTCCAGGAGACACATTCTTCAGTAAAGTTTAGGGATCTTTTTTCATGTCTTTCTATTGGATACTTCTGTATGTTCATAAACACTGGACCCTATAATAAAGTAGTTGTTTAAATTAAGAAATTTGGTAGTCACAAAAACATAGAAAAGCTAGAGTTCTTCCAAAATATAGAATGTATATTTTGAGTATTTAATGTGGATCTACTCCACATTTTATTTTCTGACATAGTACTTATAACAATAATATTTCCATACTTGTATTTATAAATGCTTTCTATACGTGCTATCTTGGTTAATGATTTCTCGTTTTCTTTTGTTTTTAATCACAAAATATACCAGATGTAAAATCCCACAAGATTTCTCACTACTTTATTCCTTGCCAAACCAAGAGCCCACTTCAAACTCCATATATCAGGAACTAGAGTGGTCCAAACCAGAATGACTTATAAATTAATGAGCCATGTTCTAATATGTTTCCTTTATAAAGAATGATTTTTTTATATCATAACAAAGAAACATAAGGGTTGAATATGAGTCTTTTAAATGAAATGTGAAAAAATATGACATTTGAAATTAATTTTTTAAAACCATACTTACTGACATTCATTTAATGTTACTTATGAAAGAGTATTTCACACATGGTGATAATTATTCAATAATAAACATAGGCAGAGAAACTAAATTAATGATATTATGAATATTAGTACTGGGTACTTGGAGTTCCTGGAAGAACTCCATGGATGTAACTAATATTTCAATGATTTGCATGATTATCTTTAGTCTTTAGTCAAAAATATTTGAGCTAGATATTGGCATCCACATCCCATCTCATTTGATCTAGTCCATGCATCAGGGACGAGAAGACGACTAACAAATGCATTTGTCACACTCCCTTGAGAAAGATTTTGGAAGTGATTTTGGTTCTGCCAATTAAATACACTTGCATGAGATCTGTAAGACAGAACAAAGGGAGTGGGCATCTTCCTGCAGCCATAGCAAACAAGGAAAATCTAAAAATATAAGCAGAGATTCTGTCCTTTATTGAAAGTTTGATACATGAGGGCCTGCAGGGGAAGTCTGACCCATTACTTGTTTTTTTTAAATACAATTTTAGCAGAACACAACCACATTCATTTGTTTACATATTGCCACGACTGCTTTTGCGTTATGGTGGCAGAGTTGAGTAGTTGCAACAGAATCTGTGCAACCACAAAGCCTACAATATTTACTTTTTGGCCATTTACAGAAAAAGTTTGCTGACTCTGCCTTCCTGTGCAACTCCCAGCTACAGGATGACAGCACTTGCAGAATCACTGACCCTGAAACTGACTAGCCTCTGGCTGCAAGTCTTCCTGTCCTTCTAATGATTTTACAAGCACCTTTTCCCCCATGATAAAACCCTTTCTGCTTGAAATACCTAGAGTGATTTTAATTGCAACTAATGACTAATCCTCTTTTCCTTTACCTTTTCACATGAAGACATTATGTGTCAACAATATATGGCTAAAAAGAGGCAGGCAATTCATAAAAGCACAAAATTTTAACTCTGTTAGCAAACCAAAGTAAAGGCAAATATAACAGAGCAACAGTCCTAGGAAAAAGTCCTAGGAAAACATACCTTACTATCATAAAACATACATTAGTTCTCAGAAATTTTATCTGTACATTAGGAATTGTCTACATGGAGTTCCTTGTAGACCAAAAAGATTTGAAAGAATAGAAGCAAAAAAAAAAAAAAAAAGTCAGAACAAGTCATTTCTGCAAGATCTATTGTATGGATTTTCTTCAGGAAAGACATGGAAAAATTTCTAAGAGTCAATATTTTAAGAGAAAATAATAAAGATATCAACCTTTATGTCTATCTGATGAGTTTCTGCTGGACACAGGAGTTTTTGCATTCCATTTCTTGCCTGACCAATCGTCCAGTAACCCATGAATGTCTGCTCTGGTAGAGGCAACCTGTTAAGGATGATTGGAAAAATGAGCATTCTTGTTTCCAAATCATAGAATAACATAATGAGCCCTCTATTATCAACCACACAAATAAATCTAAAGAATGCTTTGTTTAGGAGAAAATTATGCTTCATTTTATTAAAAAAAGATGATGATTAGAATACACATTAAGATGAAAAAGATTCCACATTTCAGAAATACAGAAGGTGGGGTCCTATCCCATATTTACCTCAAAGACAAACATAATTAAGATTCACACATTTTTTCCTTGAATTTGTAAAATGTTCAATAATAACTATTAATTTCTAATATAGCAAATAGAGCACAGATAGTCATTTTTAAAAACTGGAGCAATCTATCAAAATTTTCAATTTATTCTTTTAAAGTTTGAACCAAGTAATAATAATTAGTGTGCAGTATTATTAGGCCCATGTTTGTCAGTTATACAGGGCAAGTTTCATAGACTTTCTTTTGGCATTTTAACTTCTTTCAGTTTGCTTGATACATAATATACATACAGAAATGCCTATATAAGCCTGTTACTCATGTAAGTGTAACATTAAACACATCTGAACCAAAGAAGTAGCACATCAGAAACCCTCTTGGGACCACATTTTATAGCTATTCCCACCAAGAAAGCTAGGATCCTAACTTCTAAAGGAATAATGCTATGTTTAATTTATTTTAAAGTTTTTAAAAAGCAAATATGACAAAGCTAAAGTATAAAATTGTAGACAAATTTGAGAATCAAGGCTTCGCTTCCAAATTATACTAATTTGACTTTGAACTTTTTTAAAAAAGGAATCATTGATTTGTCATTTAACCCATTAGAAATTTCTTATTCCATGACAAACTGAATTCCAAAAAATAATAACTTATACTTTCAAGTTTTCTAAAAATAATAGGCTCATGGCTACAACTTAAAGGTGCTTGCAGTCAATCTAATGGACATTAAAGAGAGTACAGATTTACATTTAGAAATAATTTTATTTTCAGTAAAGAAATAGTCTGACAAAAATTTCTTTATGTTTAGTAAGACCGTATTAGGCTTTGATTTTTTTTTTTTTTGCTTAATATAAAAATCTAAACATTCAGGCAGAATATGCTTGCTGTCCCTTTGAAATGCTAATGTTTGACATAAGAGGAAAGAAAAAGAAATTCCCACTGAAATTCTTCTAAGACAGGTCTCTCCAAAAGGCACATGTGCTTTCATATCTATTATCCAAAATACATTTTAAGTACCTGAACAATTATACTGACTTATGACCCATGTACTTCCATCTTTTCACTGGCAAAAAGTGTGGAGTGTGCTGGGAGCGGAGGGAGGCCAGTGATGAGTTAGGGGATTGACTATAATTGTATTCTCTTTTGAATATTATGAAAATGCATTTTTGTGTCAACAGGGCAGATCTTTAAAATATATCCAAGGCTCAGGGTCTCTCTTTGCTAGTTTAGGGAATGAACTATATTCTTCATTTGCTTTCATAAAGGAAAATAGAGTCTCAAATATATAAGGAGAAAAATAAAGGAAATAAATACATTAATTACTCTTTACCAGAGAAGACACAGAATAAAACAATGCAAAGAGAGCTGGTTTTTAGTTTTGGTTCTTGTATTAACCAGCTATGCAAATTTGGGAAGGGGAATATCAGTTAATGTTTCAGTATTTTTTTTTTTTTCTGGTACTGGGGATTGAACCCAGGGGCACTCAACCACTGAGACATATCCCCAGCCCTATTTTGTATTTTATTTAGAGACAGGGTCTCACTGAGTTGCTGAGTGTGGCTTTGAATTCATGATCCTCCTGCTTTAGCCTCCCAAGCTGCTGGGATTACAGGCGTGAGCCACCATGCCCAGTTTAACTTCTTCATTTGTAATTTTCAAAATTCCTTATGGTTTAGAAAATCTGAAGCAAGAAGAAGGAAATGTCAGTGATAGTTTAAAAGGCCAGCATTAACTTGTTGCTCTGCTTGAAAATATGTATACCTCCCAATAGAATAGGTGTCCTGATAGATAGGTACGCTTTATTAAAGCATATACTAAGAAGCTCTAAATACACCTAAATTGGTTCTTTGAAAACAAGAGAACCATTTCACATCTTAAAATCTAATTACAGGTGAAGAATTGTGTAATAAAAATGATTCTGGTTGACAACTAGCCTGAAACATGGACCTAGGATTAGGAATGTCGTTCACTAGTAGAACACTGGCTAACAATATGCAAGGTCCTGAGTATGATCTCCAGCATATGCATGTGCACATGCAACACACACACACACACACACACACACACACACTCTTAATGTATCCATTGATAATATTACAGAAATAACATTCAAATACTGAAAAGGGTGGGGGACACCCCTTCATCCATTTGAGAAAAAGTAACTGCTCAACTTCCAGTTCCTACTGACAATGCCAGGGATGTGCATAAAGTCTGCTTTAAACTTGCCAACTCACTCTAAATAACAGTCATGGAAATTACAGGCTGCCTGGCTCTATATAAAAATAGCACTGGCTGTTTGGTTGGCAGAGTATGGGAAGGACCTTCAGGTACCCCATATAGAATCTATTCCGAAACCACATAACAGGATGCTACTGGCAATGACAACTATAACTGAAAGACACACAAGCAGGGTGTCCTGGAGTTGCACAACCAAACTGACTCCATCCTGTTCCTTGGTCATATGAAATACTTTCTCTAGACTCTTAATATGGACTTTAGGCTGTCCAACAGAGGTAAACCATAGCCCCTTGTTTATTTTTCTCTCACTAAGCCCTCCCAAAGAACTGTGGAAAAAATTGACCATTCCTAACTTTCTCCCCTTCAGTATGTTAGTGGGCAGGGGAAAGGAGAAGCATTATACTTGGATGCATGAGTAAGCTTTGGAATTTGAAACACACTCAACGTTAATTCAGGGGTACTTCTAAATTAATAACCAGTTAGCAAAAGGCCTTATATTCTATAACTGAAATCTGTCATCCAAGTCTACCAGAGTTCAGTTTTTATATCTGTCTTGATTGAAACAATAATGGTATTTTTCCATGGTTTTAAGATCCCATCGCTTGCATTGCTTAACTTTGTTAAAGTCTTAGCTAGAATGATATCTGGATTTGATTTTAAGCGGGGAGGAGAATGAACTTAGGCCTATAAATAGCATTGCTTTTTATCTTCAGTATCATTCATGAATTTATGCTTGTTGAAACAATGATGTATTTTAATTTATATGTTGTGATATTTTTTAATCCCTTGTGGAAGTAATAATAAATATCTGGAAGTAAAAATTTCAACTAAAAAAAGGTGAATATCAAAATTATGACTCAGATCAAATTATAATACTTGAGTAAGTTGCAGAAAGAAACAAATTCATAGCCTGATGCATATAGACAGCAAAGTCAAGTCCCATCATCTGAATGACATATAAGAGATTTGTCTTAGACCGTTTCCATAAAGAGGTGAGCCAGGGTTTTAAAGAGCATGTTCTGGCAAATTTCTGACTTCTCTGAACCTTTGCCAAAACTATTTCTGGAGTACGAAGGAAAACACATGAAAAAGATTTGGATCTTTTTAGGGGCATTATGCAATTGGAAGTTGTTGACATACCTATTATCAACAATTCCTAAAACATTTCCGTACCACAAGAACTACTAATTTTCACAGGAATAATGAAACCCTTCAGGGTAGTTCCATCAACTCAAAAACTTGACAATCACTACCATCTTTGAGAAGAAACAGAACTATTTCAATTTTAGTAGGCCTCACTTGTTTCTAATATTTTACGTCTAACACCTGGTAAAAATTTTCAGGTTATCCAACTGAGTTCACTGAAGATTTTCATAGAATATTTCTCACAAATACTTACAGTTTTGGTTCTTACACCATCCTCTTATTCTCCAGCCAATCTATGCCTTAGTCCTACTTGAACTGCTTATTGCTTTTCTTTAGCATGCCATGCATTTTCATGCATCCCTGAAGTCATTCCTTCTGCACAGAATTCCTGCTATGGTCTCCTTGGTGAGATCCTTCTCACTCCAAGCATCCAATCCAAATGCATCACCCTGCTACATTTATTTATACAAACTCCCTGCTCTCCTGGGTTTCTATGTAAATTTACACACATGAAACTCTAGGAATAGAGTTCTATAGAATCTATAATTTTCAAATTTAAGGACATGAGAGAAAATACAATTTTACGAAGAGCAAGCCAGAAGTGAACCTATGAAATCCTTCATAATCATTATTATATTTACTAAATTAAGAAGTCAGCACATTAGAAAGAAAAGACAAAGCCCCTTTAAACGTATTAAATTAGTAGTAATGGGAACCATTAATTCCCAGTAATATCTTCCCTTGTTTGCTAGAAACTTCAGAGTCATACTTCCCAACAACTCACATGCTGCTGGCCAATTAATTTTGCTCTGCTGGAAATGATGTGCACATGAGTATGTGTTTTCCCTTTCTGTGCCTGGTTCTACACTGAGATATTATGGCTTTCACTTAATGACTTAAGACTTGTGCACCTCTGCCACCTAGATCCTGCAGAGGTCACAGAAATACAGAGTAATTTGGATGTATGAGATGGAAAAGATTTGGAGAAAATTTGCTGCTCTTGGCAGGTACTTTTCAAATACACTCCCCAAGCCCCAGAATGACACTGTGCAGTCTCAGTGCTGTTGCCCAGCATTACTTTGTGCCAAAGCAGATGTTGTTAACTTTCTCTACACATCTCTGTTTTTTTTTTTTTTCTTTTTTTTCCTCCTACAGAAGTTGCCAAACTACAGTTCTGGGGTCTGGATTTCCTTTCCTTCATCTTTCTTCAAGTTGTACTGCAAAAATGTCTTCTCCTTTTCTGCCATCTACTTTATCAATCACATCTTAAGTGTTTTCGAATCATATATTCTTTCTTTTTATAATCACCCACAACAAGAATGACTGAGACTGAAAACTTTCTCAGTGGTTAAAAATTTTCCTAGAGAAAAATTTCCTGTATTTCCCACAGGAAGGAC